GCGATTTGAAATCTTTCAAATCGCGCCTACAGGCCCTTTTTTTTTTTTCCCCGCTGTGTCGACCTTCCCGCCTCACTGCTGCGTCCGTCGTTCGTCGCCTCACTGCGTTCACTGACGCGGTGAGGCGACGCAGTGAGGCGACGCGGTGAGGCGTCCGTCGTTCGTCGCCTCACTGCGTTCCCGCTGGTCGACCTTCCCGCCCCGACGCCCCCCGACGCGCGCCACGGTGAGAGGAACGCCAACAAGTCATGAACAAACATTCTCATCCTTCTCACCTCCCATGATAGCGTGACTACCAACTCGAAAGCGGCAATGCAGTGTGTGTGTCTCGAAGCAAAAAGCTGAAGTAAAGCAAAGGAAGCTCGGGTCAGAGCAGCAGTGAGACTTCAGTAGAGTCACAAAAACGAGTTATGATTGCACTATGGGGCAAGATACAGTTTGCAATTGCACTTCGGGCACCCTACCTGGCCAGAAAGCTGGGTCGTACACATTGCCCGACCTGCAATTGCAAACTGTATCTTGGCCCGCAGTGCAATCATAACTCATTTTTTGTGACTCCCGCGTAGTTTCCCCTAAATCTTACCTCTCAACGACTCCAAAGTGCTGCAGCACTGCAAGGATTCTTTTGCTCACATGCCGATATATTGCACTTTGGGCACCCTACCTGGCCAGAAAGCTGGGTTGTATACATTGCCCGAACTGCAATTGCAAACTGTATCTTGGCCCACAGTGCAATCATAACTCATTTTTTGTGACTCCCACGTAGTTTCCCCTAAAGCTTACCTCTCAACGGCTCCAAAGCGCTACAGCACTGCAAGGATTATTTTGCTCGCATGTCGATATATTGCACTTTGGGAACCCTACCCCTGGCCAGAAAGCTGGGTTGTATACATTGCCCGAACTGCAATTCGAAACTGTATCTTGGCCCGCAGTGCAATTTTAACTCATATTTGTGACTCCCACGAAGTTTCCCCTAAATCTCACCTCTCCACGACTCCAAAGCGCTGCAGCACTGCAAGGATTCTTTTGCTCGCACGCCGATATGGGGACAAATCCTCACCATTGATCAGAACCAGATCGGGACACCTGCACGTCAAATGGAACCAGAAAAGTTGAGTGAACGATGATTGCTGAACAATCAATTTTACATTCCTGATGGCTGGCTGGCTGCACAACACATACATGTCGTCATGTACTGTTGCGCAACAGATCAGAAGTTCATAATACTTCATAATGAGTTCATAATACTTCATAATAGTTCATATACTATTTGCCTAAAAAAAGAAAAGTGTTTTGTTTTGTTTTGTTTTTTATCCCAATCAGTTCTGATGAACTTCTGAATCATTTGTCTTTCTTGAAGTTTCTTCCAGTGAATGTGAAAACTGGAAACCAGATCCAGTTTCCCTTACAACAAAGACACACTCAACGCTTTCCTTCGTTATGGTCAAGGGAACCTGAGACAGCAGAGCCTTGATTAACTCTTTTGAGTCTCTTTTCTCAGGAAGGATGTACCACAGATCCACCGCTGCTTTTTTTTTGCTTTTTTTTTTTTTTGAATTAGATTCACCCCTGCTAATCCTCCCTTTTTTTTCAAGACAGGCTTTCTGGGTAGAATAAGTTGAATAACTCCACCCAGGACCACCCCACTATTTCCTAAGCTTGCTTTATGACAGACTGCGATCAAATTTGAAATTTCAGCAATTTCACACTCATACAAATTTGGCTAGACACATCACACATAAAAGGGCCTTTACCCGAAATAGGCCTCAGGTCTTGTCAAAGTAACGCAGCACCTGTCTCTTATACACATCTAGATGTGTATAAGAGACAGGGAGATGTGTATGTCATGTCTGTTCGGGTAAGAGTGTGTCTGTACGTGCAGGCAGTGTACCTGTTCGTGCAAAGTAAAGTGTCTGTTCAAGCAGTAAATGTGTCTGTTCGTTGAGAGTTGTGCCTGTCCGAAARTAAAGTCAATAGGCACAGTCCCAGTTCTGGTCTAAGTCYAGGGGTCAGTCCAGATCCAGACTTTCAAGTCCAARTTCAGGCCGGGAGGCCTCAGCAGCAATTGAACTTCATTGGGACTCTACTGGGACACATGCAATGCAGGGTCTGGGACAAAAGGAAGGCTGGATTGAGCCAATGCAGACCCAGCGAGGAGTATAAAGGAGGCAGCCAGCCTCATTCCTCGCCAGATCTCCACTGGCTGTTTCAGCGTGGAGGAAGCAGATGCGCTGAGTGAGGGAAGAGGATTGCATGCTGGAAGTGATGCAGCCATAGCTGCCCAGCAAGTTAGCATTAGTAGTAGTGGGTTAGTATGTAGCTATGAGTAGTATTCAGAGTAGATCCTCATGAATGAAGGGTGTGTATGCATCGTAGGAGGAAGAGATTGAGGCTGAGAGTGTTCATTCAAGATTGGGCTATGGAAGATACTTACCTGAGTTGAATGTGGGCTGTAGAGGTGGCGCTGATGGGTAGTGACCACATTGATGACTTGGAGGTTATCTGCAGGAGTAGCGCTGATTCACTGGAAGTCATATTGATGAGCTGACAAGAGATTGGGGTTGCGCTGATGAGCGCTGGACTCAGGGGAACTTTGAAACACTTTGTATTCATATTTCTGATAATCTAAGCTGTGAAACTCGGTCCTCTTCTTCTCTACCTTTGTCTATGGTTGATACTATTGATCGCTGTGTGTGAAGATGATGCATGACATGTACACATCTGCGTGAGATGGTCCCCAGGACCCATGCACACACACTTTGATAAGAAACTTCACATGAAACTGAAAGTGATTATCTCCCTCACAAATACTTGATGCAACCAGCAGAACTTCCCAACATCTTGGTGCCCTGCTTCCCTGACCACACCCGCATGAATGTGGACTGAAAATGATACTGAAAATGATAAATCCCTGGCTATGGTTGCACCTCACTCTCCTCTCTTCCATCCAGCATTAAGCATAGCGTGCTTCTACCATGCTCGGTGCCTTGCGCTGCTGATGTTACACCAGAAGGGCACTTCTGTTGCTGCAAATTGGGGACTAGGAAGTCAACTGACGTCCTCTGCGTCAAAGGAGTTTCCAGCCTTCCCACTAAAATGAAGCTTGCTACCGTCTTCACCCGAATGAATCGCCCCATCATTATAGCTGTATTTGGGGCAACTTTCAGTGCAGATATTGCGATAACAACCGGGCGGTGGGCGTTGTATTCGCAGGTGAAGACGGCAGTTGTTCTTGCCACGGAAGGACAAACTGAAGAGAAAAGTTTACACTCTTCACTGAGTCTTCAGCTTTGTCAACTACTGAGACTACCTTCTTCCCCCGAACATACCGCATATGCGTTGTATTCAAGTTTTCAAATTTGAAAGAAAATCGAATAGAACGCATATAAGTTTGTATGCATGGGTCCTAGGGACCATCTCACGCAAATGTGTACATGTCATGCATCATCTTCACACGCAGTGATCAATAGTATCAACCATAGACAAAGGTAGAGAAGAAGAGGACCGAGTTTCACAGCTTATATTATCAGAAATATGAATACAAAGTGTTTCAAAGTTCCCCTGAGTCCAGCGCTCATCAGCGCAACACCAAATCTCTTATCAACTCATCAATATGGCTTCCAATGTATCAGCGCTACATCTGCAGACAATCTCCAAGTCGTCAATGTGGTCACTACTTCTTCAGCGCCACCTTTGCAGGTCACATCTAATCCAGGTAAGTATCTTCCATAGCCGAACCTTGAATGAACACTTTCAGCCTCAGTCCCTTCCTCCTACGATGCATAMACACTCTTCACTCRYGAGGATCTWCTCTGGATACTACTCATAGCTACATACTAACCCACTACTACTAATGCTAACTTGCTGGGCAGCTATGGCTGCATCMCTTCCAGYATACAGGCTTCTCCCTTCACTCAGCGCATCTTCTCCTTCCAGCGCTGCTCCTACTGGCTCAACGCACAAGTGCACCAGCACTTCCACGCATAGAATGCCAGTGGAGATCTGCTAGGAATGAGGCTGGCTGCCTCCTTYATACTCCTCGCTGGGTCTGYATTGGCTCAATCCAGCCTTCCTTTTGTCCCAGACCCTGCATTGCATGTGTCCCAGTAGAGTCCCAATGAAGTTCAACTGCTGCTGAGGCCTCCCGGCCTGAATTTGGACTTGAAAGTCTGGATCTGGACTGACCCCTGGACTTAGACCAGAACTGGGACTGTGCCTATTGACTTTACTTTCGGACAGGCACAACTCTCAACGAACAGACACATTTACTGCTTGAATAGACACTTTACTTTTGCACGAACAGGTACACTGCCTGCACGTACAGACACACTCTTACCCGAACAGACATGACATACACATCTCCTGGTGAACAGGTAAGTCTTTTGACAATGCCCTTTGCCTTAGCTTTAGATATGCCTGTTGATAGAGAACTTTGACCTTTGACCTGCTTTCACGTTTCTGAGCTCTGGCGAGATACCTTTTCACAATGCTTTACTTTTTCAAGGCCCGTGCTGCTTTATTTTTTACAAGGCCTGAGGCCTATATCGGGTAAAGGCCCTTTTATGTATTCGAAATTTAGGGCTATTCGAATAGAACGCATATGTGTTGTATTCGAATAGAACACACCCTGTGCGTTGTATTCGTTTACAACGCATATGCGTATGTTCGGGGGAAGACGGGTAGTCAGTCTGATCAGGCCTCTGATCAGGTGGCACAGCACCACCTGCTGTACCGGGCACAATTCATGCGCTCAATCTGGCTGTCCTTCTGTGGGTATTTGGCTGAACTCGTCTCGAGTTCATTGCCAGCAAAATCTATCAGATTCTTCAAATTTTCGCAGGTGAAGCATGTGTCCCGGTCACTCACTATGTCACTAGACTCACTATACGTCTGTAGGGAAACCCACTGCCAAACCCGGTGTTTCGAGAAAAAACTTGGCCGCCTTCATCAATGATTGCCTGGAAATAAAACAGAAGAGACGAAACTCCAACCAGCGCAGTTAATTTCAGACTGATCATCCACATGGCTTCCACCACGAAGCTCAGGAGAAACTTAACAGACTAGAAATACTAGAAACCTTGAAGGTCAAAAAAGTATCAAATTCAATTCAGTTTCTTTACAACGTAAGTAGCTTTAAACGGATGACGATGACGATGACGATGACAATGGTTAACCGCTATAGAAAGTAACTAAACACACAAGCCATCAAATATCTTTAAGTGACATCGTCTAGCTTTCTCCTCAACATTTCGCATTTTGCTCACCCACCTTCTTTTCGCCTCATCAACCAACGCCATCTTCGGGACTCCAAGCCGCCGTGCCACATAGTTGCAGGTGACAACCAGCTGCTTCTGCCTCACATGACGGTGCCACAAGAGTCAGGATTCAGTACATATGACATGATTCGCACCTTCTCTCTCTCTCTCTCTCTCTCTCTCTCTCTCTCTCTCTCTCTCTCTCTCTCTCTCTCTCTCTCT